TTACCCCTTATAGTCCACATATTGACAACTTCAAAATAGACGACATAACAAACAAGTATTGATGTGTGCTGTGGGACAAATTGTTAGACTTTTGTGGGTGATTTTCCAACAGAGGTTCTTTAAAGGGAATCACAGACAACGATTTAATGGCCAGTCTGCTACAGTGTAGGCACTGAGGTGCACTTTCATGGCTAGAGATAAATTTTCTCAGGTACCTACATGTGTAGCTCTTTAATTTGCACCACACAGATTCTATCTACTATAACGTTACACTGATGTTCTTTTCCTTTACATCCAAGAATAACAATGTTTGGCACCATGCAACAATTTGTTACTAGTGTACAGTACACTTAGGAACTTTCATTTAGGAGGCTTACAATAAAAGGCAATATCATCGGATCCAATACCTGTCAGTCCTTGATAATAGTAAATTTAGAAGTAATGTTGCCCTCAATGCTCTTGAGAATTGAGTCAAGTATTTATCTTTGTGATTGTACAGTGGCAAATTGTAAACCAGGTAGCCCAGACACTAGCGGTACATTTGGGAGTCAAATTAGACAACTGGCAATTTTCGTCTACCGGCAATCTAGATGGAGGAAGACTTTAATGAAGGCTTTGCTCCAAAGGAATGGGCTCAAAATTGCTCCCTTATCCACTCTTGCACCAGATTGGGCGATCTAAAAGGGACGTCTTCCGTTTAATCAAGATTTGCAGACCGGCATTAAGACTGCAGTCCACAGAACTTTCCACAGGTGAGACTTCTACAATCATCAGATAAACTGCTTATTTCAAATTCTTCCCATGGGTTCAATTTTCTATCATTTTGTATCAACTGCAGACGAAAAATAGGCAAACAAACCATCATGCCATTAGGAGAAGTCTTTTTACTTTTTATTCTATATGGAGCAACCTTGAAGCAGTAAAAGAAGTTATCACCAACGAGTACAGAAACAGATTGATTCTTTAGTGACTGGAGTTATGTTCAACAAGGGAGTAGTTTTTTTGTACAGGAGCAGCTAAATTCAGACAGAAGATGTGCCATGAGGGATTGATTATTTCTGCTAGTTGACAAGTCTGTCTTACCAAGAGACTCCCCAGTGTAGTCATCTGTCCTTGTTACAGCAGGCCTCCTATATTTCCTGCTTTTCTAATATAATTAAGTAACTTCATATATCAAGCTGCATCATTTTTATTTGTTGACTTTTTTTTAGATTTTCTAAAGAAGAATATCAACCAAGTCACATTATACAACATTTGTAACAAAATTAAAATATATAATAAAACATAATAAAATGCGTAGTAAAGTACCGAACAGTTCCATCAACTGGAAACTCAACGTGAAAACAGCCAGATTCTTGTGGAAATTCTGTATTCTGCGGTGAACGTACATGTATTACTTAGTAGTTAGAGTCAAGTTTTCTTCCCACATTCTCTGTAGTTGATTTGATCTCTAGCTAAATCACTGCTATAGAATGTCAGAGAAACAAGGAAATACATTGATATGGCTTTGACATAAATGAATTATAACTAAACAAAGGGGAATTGAAAGTCCTCTTCAGTTGTTTGTGACTAATGCCGAATCCCCAACATCCCACTCATTCTGTCATGCCAGGAAGCCTTTTGTACGGATGTCAACTCATGTCAGAAGTCATTGTTTGATACCTACATCTTGTCTCATTTGTGCCTGAAACACTTGCTGAAGGTCATGTTCAGTCAATAAGGTTACAGAAGAGTGAGTGTGTAATGTAGATGTTTATGAAGGGGTTGCTTCATATGTTGACCTTCAGAGAGAGCTCTCGCCTTCTGCTTGTGAGCTGCTGCATCTCCCAAGGTCATGTTTGACACAAAGGTTGCCCCCCTCCCACCCTAAGGCTGTGGGTCTCTGGGGAAGTAAAGGCACTTAACAGCTCAGAGGAAATGGTCTGTACAGAATGGAATGCCATGTTGATGTGGGTTGGCATCGGTGAAATGGCAAAAGATATACAAATGAAGATCTTAAAATAGAGTTTGAGTGCATGACTGGCCTCAAGGCCAAATCTCAGTAGCCTTCACATCCTCATGGATTAAAGAACTTTTTGAAGAGTTTTTTTCTAAAGATTCATACATAAACTGATTACACAAGTAACCTTATCACAAGCCAAATATGTGCATTTTGTACCAGGCTTATGTGTCTCAGAGGGCTTGCATCTACAAAGTAATTCCCGTTTTTGGGACTGGCTTGCTTTGATGCTGGCAAGTAGGCTGGCAGCAAGCACCTGATGCCAGCTCTTCACTCAAGGATATTGGTAAGACGCCACACGCCACGCCAGGCTATCTATTTAGTTCTCAGGCATTCTGAAGTACAAACAATCAAGCAAGAGGCTAAATGCACATGATGTACATATAGGTCAAGATGAAAACAGAGAGCAGGGAGGAACATGTGTATCTGATTATATTCACTCCCTGCAACTGTATACTGTATTATTATGCAGTCTTTCCCAGTTTGACACCATCCCTTTTAAATCCGAGAACCAAGGGATTCAATCTGAAATCGAGTGGCCTGAGGGAAAACCTATACAATAATAACATATACAGTACTTGTAATGGAAAATCTTTATCAGTCATGTTTTTCCTTTGAGACAATTAAGCTTTGATGCAATGGAACATTTTTCAGTTTCTTTTTTCTCTTAATTATGATTCATCTTCAAAGCCAATACCTTAAGGGATGCCTCAGTTTTCCTAAACTGATTTTATCTTACAGAAATACAGAGTTCAAAACAGAAAAACAGAGATGAAAGCAAGCATTTAACAAAGACATTGCTTGCCCTTTCAAGACAAATTCACCAAAGAACATCTAAGTCTTCATTGAAATGAGCAATTTTCCCACAACTGCTGGCTGTTTGGAACAAAGTCTTCAATACAGGGACTGGCTTTGTCTGAACTGCATTGGAAATTGTCAAAATTTGGTAAGTAAATTTGCACTGGTTTACTTTTTACTATATCTGGTACAATACTGTTGTTCAGAATTGCCAAACTGGTACACGGACACAGCAAACTACAGAACAGGTAATTTCTGCCTAACTAGACAATTCCAGGAGGCTCAAACTGAAAGGAAGTCCCGAGGCCTTTTTACATGTCAGATTTTTCACTGCTGTGCAGCAGTGACACCTAGCTGCAGAGTGAGGTACAACAAGTCAGTATTGCCCTGAAGGAAGGTGACAGCAAGTCATCAAAACATTAGCAGGTGACCATATACTGGTTGTTTTCAAAGAAATTTTTCATCCAGATTTACATATGAACTGTACCAACCTGAGGAACCTATTCCGAAAATAGTTTCATCAGGTTGGTAGGAAATAGGATATAGGCATTTTCTTTCAGTAGTTTTACGCATCCAGTAGTGTCTCTTACACATGTACCTAATGCTTATGTTTCAGTATCTATCACAGTATCAGACACCTTCCTCAGAACTTTTGACATCGGCTACATATAACAGCAAGAAGCTGAACTCCAGT